TGCATCCGCGTGAACGCCGCCGCGCTCACGCGTTCACCGACGACGTGTTAAGATGAATTCATTTTCCGGGAAATCCTCGGGTCCGTTATTTCGAACGAACTATTATTGCCCCGTGTAGGGGATTTTGAAGTTGCGGAACGGTTTTCTTTTTATTATATTTAATGCGAATAACCACCGGTCGGGCGTGTAAAAATAGCCCTTTCGGAAACGTCTTCGAACGGAGATTAGAGTTCGATGAACTTCGGACCCGACGGCGAACGTTGCGCGCGTTCGCTGCGTTTGGGATTTTCGCGTTGACTAAATATGATATTTTGCGTTTTGCCGTTTCGGTTCTCAGAACAGCACAAAATGACGTTATACGATCAGAAATTAACGGTTTCTGAAAACGAATCGAAACCGATTCAACTAAAGGATTCTCGGAAAACTGTCCCGCGGCCGTCGACCCCGATGAAACGGCCATCGGCGGATTCACTCCGTGGACGCTTATCCAACCGCCGCCGCGGTTGTCGGGAGCCGTCGATTAGATTTCAGACGTAATGAAAACGAGACACCGTGATAAAAATCATTTAGAATAATTCGTATTCGCAGTTTATCGCCCAGAAGGCGGGCGACGATGTCGGTGTACAATTATACCGGCAAACTACTTTTCCGCGATAATGCCGCGAGACTGATTTCTCTTTACTCGGTCGTCTGGATTTACACTGTACGTTGGTTGTTGGACGCGAACGGACAAACGGCAAAAAAAAACGTACGATCCACATCGGGATATTTTCGTCTCGGCAATTTAAAATACGACGGTAATTATTTTATCATTTTCAGTGTCTGCCGACGGCGTTCCGCGAGCCCGGACGACTTTGGGCCTGGGGCCAAACAGTTTTTAGGGGCCCGTAAACAATCAAAATATTGGTCTCACAAACAAATGAATTTCAGCAGCGATCGTCGTACGTCTGTAATGGACGGTATTCCCGTGCCCTTATCACGGTCTTCTTACCGATAACAGTCGTCATTGCGATAGCATAAATAATAACAATAACAATAACAATAATAATGGCATATCCGTTATCCGTAACGTGTTACGAGAAACGTATGACCCGGCAAGGCCACGGGGGAAAGGGGGGGAAGGGGTTCACAGTATTACGACGACCGGGGAACTCCGGCCCCCCCCCCGTCACTGTTCCGGGCCCGATAATCCGTAACCGTGCGTTGAAGCGCGCGAACAATACGGTCGGGATTAAATACCGACCGTAGCGCACTGCAGGTAGGCGCGTCGCGATTAAACGGGTCGGAGAGCGGTTAGTGTTTAAAAAAAAAAAAAAAAAAACACTCCCGTGCCGAATCGCCGTCAATATTTTAGTGCCGGCAATTAATATCGCCGCGGTTGGGTGTTGCAGTAAAAACGTCGTCCCGAGGATGTAACGCGCGGGCGGAGATTACCGCACAATATTATCGCCGTCTACACAACCGCCGACCCGCAGCCGCGTACGGTTAACGATTCCGTTTGTCGGCGGCCCGCCGTCCGTAAATATTTCATCCGTGTGCGCGGGCGCTGCGTTATGACAAATAGTCGCGCAGCGCGTAACCGTTTCGCGCGTCCGCGACAACCGGCAAACGCGCAGTTAGCGGCGGCCTTTGTCGGCCCGCTGCAATTGTTCGTGGGGTTTGTTTTTATAAACGAAAATCGAATACCCAGTCGTAAACTTATTGGCGCCCGCAGTCTACGAGATGTCTCGTATAGACATCGCGTGCGAAAAAAAAAAAATAAAAATAAAAAAAGAAGAGAAACCCGAACGTATAACACGTGTTGACGTACGCGACCGATATCAGAACCTCCGTAATAGCATTCGATGAGGCCAGTTTCACCGCAGACGCCTAAATACGTACAATTGTGATTCTGCCGTACTCGTACGTAGTTACTCGGTTACGGTTTTAATTTTAAACGATATTCGACAATTATTGTAAACTACTCCCAGAAATATCGATTTGTAATGTACATTTGTGACTAGGAAATCGGTATATCCGCTATATTTTACATTTTTTTTTTTTAACCAAAGTACATGTTATGATGCTATTTGAAAATTTAATACCTGTGTCCTTCCATAACGCTATTGTATAATGCACTGCTGTTTGCAATACTCGAATGCGCTAATGTTTTCATACTCTGGATTATATTCCGTTACTACATTATTCGGTGACATTAAATATTCCAGTAAATTAATCGGCTAAAACAAGTTTTAATATTAAAAAAACATACCTAATTAATTAATTCGTAGTACCTAATGAAAAAAAAAAAAGTAATCTAACTTATGCTGTTACCGAAAAACTAGTTCCAGTGCATAATATATTATATTTTATTTAATTTTTTTTTTTCTAAGCACTTTTGTAACCGCTGAAGAAACATTTTTTTATACGTGGGCACGTTTAATTTACGTATAAGTTCAAAACTAGCATTAAATTTCAGTGAGTAACATGCAATGTTAGTGTACTCATTTAGTTCATATTCGCAACTACACAATTGTTGGACGGTTTTTTAAACATCAATAAAGTCGATTGTTTAAAACAAATTGTCATAAAATTTTAAACGGTTTTTAAAATCTAGAAAAAATTATTTCGAAATTATCGATCGAAACATTGCTTTCCTTTGTTACAATGTAAACTTTATAATATTTCTTTATAACAATTAATAATTTTTTTGGTTTTCATTTTCAGAAACAAATTGTTCAATATAAATTTTTAAAATGTTCAATGTTAACAGCTATTTTGATACTTTAAAATACTATCCAAATCACAAATTATATTTCCTTAATTTTTAGAAACATTTTGAACATAATAATCCAATAACTTTAGGTATGTGTTTCAATTCATTTTCAAATCACCACATCAAATATAGAGCGGAATAAACAAGTCGGGAAAACAAAAATAATAATATAATCATATTTTAAATTCGAAATTGTTCATGTAGGAAACTATAACTTAAAAAAAAATGTAAATAATAATTTTCCAAACCAATTTTCTTTGCTACCGATTCTCTGCAAATTATGAACAAATTTGTGTATTTTTTTATTTTTTTATCATCGATGGTATTTTAAAATTAAATAGGATACCGAGCAACGCAACAGTATTTAAGAATATTAATTATGCATTACTGTGGAATAATATGCTTATACGATTCGGGATTACAGCTTAAAATGTTCAGTTAAAAGCTATCCAGGGCTCACTAAAACGGATCGCTGACTGGACATCATTAATAAAGGAGAAAATAAAGAGCAACGCGGACAAATGACCCGCTCTTATCGGACACCAAACGCAACATTTAATAGAACCAGATATTGTGTGGTCATTAGTAATATGGACAAGCTGGGCACGGTCACAGTGCTGATAGTTGAATGAACACAAAAGAAAAAAAAAATCGTTTTGAAAATAATGTGTTTCGAGTTTACCAATGACAAGATAATGAATTGTTAACACTGTTGAAATATTAATAGATCAATGCGGATGAAATCCGCTAGAAAAAAGTTTACTCCATATCATTTATGTGAGTGAATTAATACCTGCGATTCGTATTATTTTTCTAATTTTATTCCTAAACTAATATTAAATCTTTGAATTAACTATTTTCATGTTTTTAATTACCAGTGAAATCGACCAGTCGATCGACTTGTATATTTTAACCCTTTGATCTTATTTTAGAGAAAAAAAAACTGTAAAATTAATATTGTTGTTTTATACCTATAATGTTTATAATAGGCATGCGACTTTTCCATTCTGTTAAAAAATCGGTTTTTAGACTGACTTGTAATTATTATTTATTTATTTTTTTTTTTTATGTATGTCGTATTTTATTATGTTTAATAAATTTACAAATTTACATAAAAAAAATTTAATAAGTACCTACCTAGGTGAGCGTGACTTTCAAAATTGGTAGCCATCAATTAGGTAGGTATAATAAATAATACTATTCGCTCCTGACTCATGTACACTGTAAGGCCTGTTTTTCACACAAGTTACCTGCAACCTATAACACCTATACAGTATGTATATAATATAAATATAGAACATTGCAAAAATGCATTATTACTTCTACTTAAGTTCTGTGTTATTATTTTATACGATTTATAGAACAGAAAAAAAAAAAAAAGAACATAAAACTGGAAATCAAGGTGGCCCGCTGGTTCAGTGTAGGGTCAACAGGTATAACTCGTTGACGGAACGGATACCTGCCTACCCTAAACTATATAGCTGGGCACGCGATCTAACATGATTCAAGGCAATTGTCGGCTCGGCGCAATTAATTTCGTTATTACTACGTTATCGCGAAAAAAAAAAAATGTTTCGCTGTGTGTGTTTGTCGAGAAAAAACTTCATTTTTCATTATTTTTACGTGCAAATTAGGCGCGCCATGTTTGCACTGCTGCAGTATATTATATAATTGACTTTGCCCGAAAAGGCTCGGAAATAAATTAACGGCGTTTTTTGGAATATGCTACATATTTAAAAAAAAAAAAAAAAACTGATAGTTGATACGGCTGATGGGTGCCGCGCCACCGTTGTAGTTGGACAGTTGGAAAGGTAGGAGAAATAAATGATTTAATTTATAATTTTAATTGATTATAATTAGTTTATATTTTCGGTCAAACAATGATATCCACGTGGTAGGTACCTGCCAAATAAAACCGGCATAAAAACTCGTAAACATAAAATGCCTATAAATGGCTCAACATTCGCCAAAATGTTTTGGACATTTCACCACGTTTGTAAACGGTAAAATATATGTTTTATGTAAAAACGTCGAGTCCCTGAAAAAATTATTGACGAAATAACAATGAAAAAAAAAAAACAAACGAAATTTGTTCACGGTTTTGCTTAAAATCACCGAAGAAAACTACGCGGAAAATCGATAAAAAAAACGACTTTCTTCCTCGCCAACGGAAAAAAAAAAATGTTTCTGGTAATTTTCCGATTGGTACGAGTTTTCCGTTCGGAACAGTTGTTTACCGACAGAGATGAAACTACACGGCGAACCGGAGAAAAGGTCCCTCATTGCGCTCCTCAATCTAAAGGGCAACGCACACGCGCGTAATGCGATCGTCAGACTTGCGCGGCCGTTCAACGCTCAAACGCTCGCTCCGTCGCTTAATTATTGCCGGTCGGGCACGCGCCTGCGAACCGCGCTCAGAATCGCGTTTTGCGCGCGCGCGTGTCGCGTTCACGCGGTACGGTCGCGACGCGCCGTAACAATAATACGTTGTTGACAAAAGATATGACGCGTCCCGCACCCGCGGCGCATTTGTCCATTCGCGCGCGTAACGGTTTCGAAATGCGCGGCCAACGTGAACGCGCGCCACTTATCACGCCTGCCCGGTGCGCGCGTGTACGCTGTCCGCCGCATTTCGGTTTCGTGTATCGTAAACAAATTAAACACGGTGTTTCGGATTTTCGGAAACGTAAAACGCGGTATCGAATAACGCGCCGAAACCAATTATCCATGTTAATGCGACCACGGCCGACGACGGCGCACTCGAGTGCCGAAACATTTCGAATAAAAACGTTTAATTGACACCGCGTTTTTACAACGGTACATGTATTACCGTAAAACATAACCGTCGTTTCGTTGGTATTTTACAAAAAAAAAAAATAAAAAAATTCCGCCAAGGAGGTCGAAAGCGATTGCTTTTTCCATATGTTACATACGAAATCCGCACGTGTACGGCAAATTCGCGGATCGAAATAGACGTTAATCCCATAAGTCCGATTTCTGTTTAAAAAAAACGATTTTACTCCGTGTACTTTTCTTGTTTGATGTACGTGTTTATATCAAGAATAACAAAACTAAACCAAACCAAACTCGCAAAAAAATTATAAAACGGAACAATATACAAACGTAAACCGGGAAATAAACAAATGCGATCTGTAATGGGCGAATTTTACTCCAATTTATTGATCTAAAACGTCATAATTTTTCCGTAAAAACGACAATTGTTTCCTCCTCGTGTGGAATTTATTGAAAAGTATTATCACCATTCAAGTCAATTATAAATAAAAAAATAATTTTAAAATTGTACAATATTGGAGAACATTTGGAAAATCGATTCCGACCACCTTAACAAATACAATTTAATAGACAATTTTATCCTCGAGTATTGTGTTTATATAAAACTATATTTCAAACTAACTCATCTTTATGTAAACAAGGTGATTTTTTTTCGTAATCACTATGACTACGACGTAAATCTACGTTTAATACCTGTACGTATACAATATTTTCCAAATTTTGCCCGTATTACGATTATGGTAAACCGCGTATGTTCATAACTAATTTTAGTTTGGAAATAATACCGAAACATCTTCTACCTTTACCAAGTCAGATTAAAAAAAAAAATAAAATATTTTTATAATCATTTCGTTTTGCATATACTGTTGTATTTACCGCATTCAATTAATGTATTCAAACAGTTTAAACCGCGTTGGTTATCATCTAAATGACGTGTTTTATATATTACTCTTCCTCACTCAGTTGACGGTTAAAATATAAACTTGTATTGATAAGTATCATAAACGGTGTACAGGATTTTCGCGAAAACAATCCGTTTTTGAATTTGAGTTGAAAATGGCCGCTTGAAAACGAAGATGAAATACTAATATAATGTATGAGCATTAACGGTAAAACGTTTGAAATAGGCGTTACCTCTTACCTATTTGAAAAAAACAAAAAAAACAAAATATTGATCAGACTTGAAATCTTCCGCGATAAAAATGGTTGGATTGCGAAAAAAAAAAATCACTCTGTATATAGTTTGCGTACTTCGATAACAACTTGTCGAAACATTAGTAATATCTAAATATTACTGCAATAGTTTTATCGTCCGAACAAAAATACAATACAAATATATTATATATTTTGCACGTGATGAATTCGGCGTTAACGTACGACACAATTGAATTACTGTCGACAAAAAAAAAAAAAAATCCCATTTTTAAACTAAACCGACCATCAACTTTAATTTGTTTTATTAATATTTTCCCTATGCATCTATTGTATTTACGAAATATCAAATAAATACTCGGTTGGTTCTGTTTAAATGGGCTCGACTCCAGAATCCAATTCCGTATTAAATTCGTACGTTTTTGGCTATCCCCGCGGTTTTCATTTTATTTTGTTTCGAAATTTTCGTTACAGTTATAATAATAATTATTATTATTATAACATACGAAACGTCATATTGTGTGTATGTCTTAGAATCGCCTACGGCGCAATATATAATAAGCTTTTGCACGAACAATGTCTGACATGTGCGATTAACGTCATGCCATTTTTTTCTCTCGCATTTTTTCCGATACGTTTTATTATACGTAGTCGTCAACGTAATAATATTATAACACTACGCGCATTTAATGACCCAGTTTAATGTTTGCGTTTATGTGATTTTTTTTTTTTTTTTTTGTTAAATGTAAATATTACTCAAAAATTAATGCGAACACGAACGGAACCCCCTCTAAATATTATATTAAATATGCATTTTTTTGCAACTCCCAAAGGGGTGAAATAATAATACAATATATTATAATGTATGACCCAAGAAAGAAAATTGCATGTATTTCATTTTTTACCCTCACCCCCTCCCCCATCACCTCTCGTTACTCAAAACGATAATGAAGCGTAAATCTGTATTATAAATAATATATTATACGCTTTTCTGACGATTCACAATAGATTATAAATATTGTTATTATTATTATTATTTCGCTCGTGGAAAATAAAATCCATTGTAAAATATATTTTAATACGTAACAAAATTTGAAAGTGACGATAAATAAAAATGGCCACAATCATTTAAATAAGACATTAGATTTTTGACAAAAAATTTTTTGTATTAACGTATATATATAGTTCTTTATTTGAAAGTAATTGAAAATAGTGTCTCGAATAAAGTATCACTGGGTATATCTACGGAGGTACTGCGTGAATAAATCTGTGCATTTCACTCACTAAAAAGCGTTTTCAAATAAACCAAATACTATAATAGGTATTGAGAATTTCGAAAAGATATTTCGAATAAAAACCATCTGTTCAGAAATCTGCATCTTTTTAGGCATGAATAAATCGGTGGATCTTTACCAACTCTAAATGGATTTTTTCAGAAGAAAAAAAAAATGTTAGCTAGCAAAACCAATAACTTTATCGTTACACACAGATTACAAAAAAAAAAAATAATGTCAACAAATCATAATTATGTTAACTAACCAGCTCACCCAGTGGCGTGTTCAGAAATTTTCAATGGGAAGGCGATGTAGTGAATAACAATCTTAAATTAATGAATAAATCGTCAAGTCGTCTTTTGTTGCACATAACCCCGCAATGAAAATTGAAAAGCCAGATCTAAAAAGCCAATTTGTATTTAATAAATCACACTTTTCTCCTTTCATTGATTCGCCTAAATTGTATAATTTAATACAATCACTGAATAAACACTCACGGTTGTTATAGTTTCAAACCAATGGGAGTGGGGACCCACAATATAACCCTAATAGCCCTACGCATACTATTGACCTCATCTTAAATAATAAATTAAAAACGGATTTCCTGTGTTTCCATAATTAGAACAATTTTTTAGATTCTAAATGATTTATTCGTTTTATATTTTACATTATTAATGCAATGTTTCTTATACCAAAACTAAACGGAAGTATTTAGCTATTGCCATCGTAGTGATTAGTGTGATGCAATAACATTGTAATAACTCATCAAGTATTAACAATATTAAGATAATCCTTATCAAGTATTATGATTAGTTTCAAATTAAATAAAATGTACAGTGTGCACATTAATATAATGTAAAGTAACTTTAACATTCTTATATTATACATTTTAAGTATTTATTTCAGTGACAAACACTTCGATTTAGTAATTAATATTAAATAGTAATGAAATCTTAGTTTGTAAGTGCTCGTATTTTTGTACATTATAAGCATTTATAAAAATATTACGTGTGTCTCTATTGGATCTATGCAATTGTTTGTAACCAAATGATCCAATTATTACCGATAACAGAATGATTAGAGCAGCATGACGAAGTTACTAATCGCCAGCTCTATATTATATAGATCGCTTAAAAATGTCAAGTTTGTAAATTATCTCACAGGAACGCATTGTCTGGAATCAAATGTAATCTTGTGCGTTTAACCAAAACATAATATTATATTCTATCTGTCTGTCAAATTTCATTTGAATCCATTTGGCCGTTTTGGTGTGATTGAGTCACACACAAGTTCACGATTATGATATAAAACATTGTTAGAATTAATAGTACAACTAAACTTAGGTCTACTTAATTTGTATAAGCGGAGATTTGATTGAATTTTAGGGGAGTGGGTAGTGCTATTTTAGTGACGGGCAAACAAAAAATCATCACTTGTATTACAATTCCGTGTACCCATTTGTCGGCACGTGGGGTAAGAACGTAATAATTCATAAAAATTCATTTCGGGGTGGGGGACTTGCCTAGAATAATTATTTATTAATTTTTTAATAATTTAAGGGGCCATTCTTACCGCTCCTCCCAATCGCCGCGTATGACTGTCGGGGACAGTGGAAAATCTTGCCGCCTCGCGGTTCGCCGGGTTATTTTGTTGAAGTCGTTTAATACATACGACGCTGCACCGGGAGGCAAAGTATTTCCGAGAAGAAGTTGACGTTATTCGTCGTCGCCGCCACCCGCCGTTCCTTTAACTCCCGAAATTTCCCGCACGTCCCTCTACATATATATGTGCGTATATACAGTGTGTTCCAAAAGTTCTATAATATCATCCTATAAGTATCTCCGTGACAAACCGATATGTTATGTAACGATAAATGGGTGTTTTTTTTTTTTTTAAAGTAATTAGCAACACAATATTCCAGTTGTACGGCAAAAGTTTCAATATTTGTTTACGAAATAATTATTTTTTAAAACGGTTAAAATATAAAAGTATCCAGTGAAAATCGACCGATTTAAAGCATACTAAATTTTGATTAAAAATCGAAATTCTTACGATATCGAAAACTCATTACCGGTCGGTTTTCACTAAATTTCAATATAGGCAATCTGTTTCATTTGTTTAAAAAAAAAAAAAAATGGCCATTTTCAAAATTAAAAAACTGGAACGCGTCTATCAAATTGTTTTGTTGAACTTGTGTAATCCAATTAGAACCGTTATGCTGTAACTACTATTAACCGTGTCGATTCACCGCGGATATACAGTAGAGGGCGACGCGGGACTTTTGAGACATTCTGTATACACCGCAGCCTTGGACGCTCGCATAAACGTTCGCTTGCGACTTAAACATTAGCGGTCCGTATACAATACGTATGCACACCGTATACAGTCGCGAAAGCCCTTCCGGAGGACATTTCCATCTCTGCCGCGTGGCATCTATGGGGTCACCATCTCTCCGGGTTTCACCCGGATAGTCCGGTTTTCCATATAAATCTACGGGCCACGGGTTTAGTGAATTATTCTCCGGGTATTCGTAAAATCAGCACTATTCATATAATTGTTTATAGTTTATCGATAAGTAAC